TTGTCAAAATCCATTACCTTTAATAAAATAATTTTCATTTATTATTTGATATTGATTTTTACAACCTTTAGAAAAAGAATTGCTTAATAATATACCCTTTATTTCAAATATTAAGTAGAGAGTAAATTTAAACGCGTTTGTCCCTTTTTTTCCGATATTACTTTTTGCTACATAAACCACTGTAGTTCCATACAGTTAAACATATTTTTTAGATTTAGTTTTAAAATAAGACGTTCTCACACCTACAACTCACGCCTTAACGTTAGCATCAGCATTGTTATCCATACTGTTTAGATTCCAGGGATGCTACATTGGACAAGCGAGATATCAAAGATAGCAAAAAACATCAAGACATAAAAGTGGCTGCTTCAAAAGAAACTTGTTACTGAACATTCTTCAACAACGTGTTTTTATTTATCAATGAATAAGACTTTCATTTAAAAAGGAAATGATAATTTTAGTTGGCTCATTTCCAGGATATAATTTTAAAAATAAGATAGCAAAGACATGTTTTATCCAAGTGATTTAAAACGCATAATTTTAATTTAAACTTGGACCACTCCGATGTTGCATATTCTTTATCTTGTTATAGGGTGTACAGTTTTGGACATTGACTGAGACAATAGCAATGATACTGGAAACAACCGAGATGTTTACTTATAGATGAAAAGTTGAAATCTCATGGACTAACAAAATGTTAAACACTGAAGTACTCTAAAAACTATGTATATATACACCGGTATATAGGCGGCACATCCTTCCGGTAGGGATCTATGGAGGAGTATCACCGAGCAGCAAGCCCTTATCTCTTGCCGGACTGCTTCACCATAGGCCGATCAGACACCAGCATATTCTAGTCTAAGCCGCAGATTCATTTAGAATTTTAAACTCCTGCGTTAGCCTTTTTGTTTTCTGTACACCGAGCTGGGGATCGAACATCAACTGAACTCTAAAAACTCAAATAAGAAAAAGAAATATTGTGCATTGTAAAACGTAGATAATGAGAATATTTTGGTCACATGGGAAACAAAACCAAATTTATATTAGTGAAATGCATTCAGTATAAGAGACATATCGCCAGAACATAAATGTTTCGGTTTAAGAACTTAAAACCTTATCATATTTTCGGTACGTATTTTTCTGATCTACTAAGGCCACAACTTTACAAAACAGGTGACGAGACAGCTTGTTATGAATAGTATTGAATAAAATAATTATTGATAACTGCTTAAATCCAAAAGTGGAAATATAAATTAATATCTTTTTGATGAAAACGGATACTTAGTTGATTTAAAATGGACATTGGCCGAATTTTACTAATTACATAACTATTACATATTTATATTTATTGGGAATACCGAACAATTAATATTACAAGTTTAAAAAGAGCATTACCCCTGATTTCTCTTTTAATAGATATTTTGTGTTACAGTTTATAGCCCAAAGACTTTCTTACGTCACAAACTGTCTACGTCAGACAAGATCCAATACTGTAATTGCAATGATCATTGTTTGACTGATTGCGTTGATATTTCTAAAATATTTCTTTAATTACATATATTTTTAATTTGTTTGTATCCAATTTTTTAATTCATTGTTTTTGATCTTTGAAATAAAATTATTAAAATATTATAAAGTCAAATAAACAATAAAGTACCATCGATAAACAGATCATTTACACATTAATTGCTTATTTATATGTAACTAAGTTTAATGCTTTGGTGTTTATATTTGACCTTATTCTTTTTCTATATAACCCTTTGTGGGTCTTGGCCTGCTGAACAACATTTTTCCATTCTGCCCTGTCGGATATTTTCCTTCGCCACTGCCTGATGTTCATGGTGTTAGGATCTTTCTGTACATCGTCTATCTACCTTTAACGGAACCTTCCTCTTGTACTATTTCCTTGGAGTTTCTATGCCTGGATTACTTTTACAGCTCGAAAATCTGCCATTCTAATTTTTCAGGCCAGTTATGTCTCTGTGACTTTACAAATGAAACGATATCTGCGCTGTGCATTAAATCATTCTGCTTATAGTATATTTTTATTCTCCACGAACCATCTTTACAATGTGTTGGTCCAAATATATTTCTTAAAATGGTTTACGTTTCACATTGATATGTGACCACAGGTCTAATTATTGTTTTTTAGATTAGCTTAGACTTAAAATTCAATAATTTACTTTTCATTAAGTCTTTGTATACATAAAAGCAATTATTACCGCTAAGAATCCGTGCTTATATTTTTTAACTGATGTTGTCATTTAAAATAGAGCCTAGCTAGGAAAAGGTGGAAGAATATTCGTATGTATGGTTGTCTAACTTCAGATTTTCATGTCGATTCGACCTTGTGCACTCCATGTATTTTGTATTTCTTTCATTTATATTTAGACCAAATGCAGCGGCTTTCCGTGTTTCAAATCTGTGTTTCAAATCTATAGCTTTTTCATAACCTTCAATACCCGTCTATCGAGGCTTATGATGACAACAGAATCAGGATATGCGCATATTTGAGTAGATCTTGTATTAATACAGTCGTTTATAGCTAGTTTTTTGATAATAACCTTCAAAGTTAGATTAAAAAGTATTTTTGTTCAGGCATGATCTTGCCCAACTCCATTTTTAATATAAATGCCTCTGTCATATCTTTCATCTATTGTGATCATGGCTTTTGATTCCTCCAAAATCATTAGTATAAGTTTAACCAACTATAACTTTTTTGGTATTCCTAACATGGAGAGTTGTTTTAACATTTTTTGTCTATCTACTCCATCAAACGCCAAATTGTTTGAAATCGATATACAAGCTGTAAATTGGTATTGTTACGAACATGCATTCAGCGTGGCCTGTGTAACGGTTGCATCTCGAAGCAGCATCTCAGGCATCAAGAACCATCCACAGAACATAAATTCAGCAGTGACTTTAGTTGGAAAGTGAACTTTGTACTTAAGAACATTTTAAAAAAGTATGTGTGTGCCTGACCAAAGATGCTGCTAGTAGAACTTTCAGTAAAACAGTTGCGTGAGCAACTAGAAGAACGCGATGAAGACTGCAGTGGGTCCAAGAAGATACTCCAAGAACGACTAACGAATGTTCTTAACAAGAATGGAGATGACCCACAGACATTTTATTTTTAATCAGCAGAAGAAGCAGTTTTAATGAAGATCGAAGAGAGTTCCAGTAAAATGATAAGAATTTTGAAAATTTCTTGCAAATGATTGAAGAAACTTAAAAAAATGATAATAAATTTGAAAACGTATTGCAAATGATTAAAGAAACTTCTAAAAAAAATTATGAAAGATTCGATGAAACTCCTCAAATTAATTAAGAAACAGCTAGACAAAACGACGAGAAATTCGAAAATATGTCTAGGAGATTCAACGAATTTTGTATTCAGAATAGTGAGAAGTTTGAAGAAGTCTCTAAAACATTCGATAAAGTAGCAGAGAAAATCAAACAGTTAGAGAGCATGATAACCAATACAAAAGTGCTATCACCAGTTAATACAGTAGCCTTAGATCCAGTAGTGAAAGAAGAATCACCTAGAGATGAAACGACACGTCATATGCGATTCAAATTGCCATCATTTGATGGAAAGTCCTCTTGGTCCATATACTTTAGACAATTTGAAGCTATTGCGACAGCCAATCATTGGACAGAACAAGAAAAGGCTGTTACCTTGACTGCTGCTTTACGAGGTGATGCTGCAGATATTCTAAGATCAATTCCTAAGAATCAAGAAAAATGTTACCAGACCTTGTTCACTCGACTAGACAAACATTACGGAAATGCCCATCTACAACAAATCTACAAAGTCCAAATAAGAAGTAGAATTCAACGAGGAAGTGAGAGTTTGCAAGAATTTAAAGCAGATGTTGCTTGTATAGCGCTGTTGGCCTATCCAGAGGCACCAGACAACATATTGGAAGAAATTGCTGTAGATACCTTCGTCAATGGGTTGAGATACAGTGAACTATAGAAAGCTTTACGACTAACAAGCCCGAAAGTTTTAGATAAAGCCAAGGAATTGTGGCTATCAGAAACATGTGCAGACATAGAAAGGTACCTATTTATTCTAGGTAGCTATCTGATTTCTTGGAATATATTAAATGTAAAGTTTAATACCATACTAAACCCTGTTGGCTGTTGGGGATTATTTTTTCTTTACTTACTCGATGATTTATTGCCATTCGGGTATGATACCAAAAGCCCACCATAGTTTTCATAAAAATATTTTGGCTCAAGTTGATATACAAGAAGAGGGCAATAACTAACAGAAACTGTATCTACACTTTTTACAATTCTCTCCGTGCAAAAACTTTAACTTTAAAATTCTAATACTAAATGTGTAGTAATTAACAATTTTCTCTGTGCAAAAGTGTTGTAACTTTGAAATTCCTATTTTTTTTAGCATTAATATTATTTTATTTAAATTTTTATTTTAGGTTAATGTAACATAGGCTAAAAAGCATATAAAATCATAATTAAATGTTAATTTTTCTTAAAACTTGTCTCTTATTTCACCGATATTAGCACGAAAAAAAAAACCAAATCGTCTTTATCTCGAAACTCACTTCTGACTTACTGCAGACTTGCACTGAGGGTGCGATATATATATATATATATATATATATATATATATATATATATATATATATATGTTATATTCATTTAACCAAAGGATGTTCCTTATCACGATGATTCCTAGGGTATCAGGTTTCAACTTCCAACAACCAGAGCCAATAAGGATCCCTGCACATGCAGTACCAGCAGATTCAGCGGGACTCAAGCTTTTTACACGTTCTCACTGAGTCAGCATTTACTAATATTACAAAACCACTTGTCGCTCTTTATTTCGGTTCATTATATTTTTGCTCATTATATATCACAGGTATTTAGATATTTAGATATCTTAGAAATGTTAGGTATGTTGAAAAAGTTCTAGTTTACCTGCATACTTTCTAAATCCAAATTTTTAGTTATTTTATTTATTTTTTCAGACTGGGTTGTTGATGACGATGGTTGTCGGACTCCTAATGGTGGTACTGGTGACTGTATACCCGTAAGGCAGTGTAAACCGATGATCGACGTTTTACGAACTGTAAAAAGACCATTGTCACCAAGCATTAGTAAGCAATTAAATGCATATTACTGTAGGTAAGTAAATTTTGTTAGTGATTTAAAAATGTGTCCAGAGAGACCGCTTTTATTATATAAATAATATTATATACATAACCGATACCTAACGAACGATTGGCACAGTATACTGACAGTATAATGGGATCCTACCAAAGTGGCTTTTTTAAAATAGATCTACCATTGATCACTTATCATATATCAGATAAATATTAGAAAAAACTACGTAGTAGGACATAGAATGCCACTACAAATTCGTAGATTTTAAGGCAGTGATACTGTTGACAGTCTCCAATTATATTCGGCTATAATCGAATTTAGAATAACAACAGAATTTTTAGAATGAACTTAAATGATAAAAGTTATGAATGATTCGGGAATAATCTTAATGGGTCCAATATATGCCCGTAGTATAGAAATAATGGCATATGCTGATGATATTGTAATTATTGGAAGAATCCGAAATAAAGCAGTTAAGTTTTTCACACGTATTAAAAACGCCGCAGAACACATCGGACTGCTAATTAACTTTCAGAATATATGCCGGCTATATCAAGAAAGCAACAAAATAACTTGCAACACGAAACTATAGAAAGGATGGAAGAGTTCTGCTACTTAGGATTTTATTGTATAAATAATATTATATAAATAACCGATACCTAACGAACGATTGGCACAGTATACTGACAGTATAATGGGATCCTACCAAAGTGGCTTTTTTAAAATAGATCTAGGATCTCTGGTTGACTGCAAAAACAACAGATCTTAAAATATACGAAAAAGAAAATGCGTGGCTAACCGCTGTTATTTTGATATGAGCTAAGAGCGATAAATATGTCAAGAGCAACAAAGTGCAATTAAAAAAAAAACAATACCCTGAGTTCTCACTTACTGATCGAAAACATGGGCAATGACTGCACAATGTGATGAGTTACTACGAATTTTTGAAAGAAAGTATTGACGACTATATGGGGTGGAGTTCTGGTGGAGGGTCTGTGGAGAAGGCGACATAATTTTAAACTCTATAGACTTTTTAGTAATGCAGATATCATGGAAACCATAAAATTAAACTGCCCAAGCTGGGTAAGCCATGTTATGAGGATAAATGAAAGTGGCCGTTCTAAAATAACCGTGCTAAATATGCCGGTCGAAAGAAGAAGAAGCGGAAGACCTAAACTCAGATATATGTAAAATGTGCAAGACGATTTAAGAAAGATTGGAAAAAGGTGATGGAGAAGACAGACACTCGACAGGAAAGGATGGAATAATATTTTGAGGAAAGCCAGGGCTCATGAAGGGCTCCAGCGCCAACTGATGATGATATAGATATAGATGATATCAATAAATAAATATATCTTTTATTTTTATTATAATTTGACTCAAGTGTGGTAGCTTAAATGACATTGTTTAAGGCTGCTAGTATGGTGAAAAAATTAATTTAAATACGAGGTCTTATATTAGCTTTAAATATATACTATTCCATTTTACCTTGTCCTAGATGTGATAAACATAAAAGGACAATTTCATATATCTACGCTAATCTAACACAAATCACACTTTTTAGAGCACACTCCGTATGACAAAGAGTAACATAGGTTGCCTAATGCACACGTCATCCTCTTATATATACCTTTAACACAATCGGTAATTTCATAACTTTTATATACAAAATTACATAAATAAAAATTATTTATGTTATTATTTTAACATCATCAAAGTTTTTGAATCTTTTGGCTGTAGTAATACTACGTATAACTTAAATAGTTACATGTTGCATTGACATTTTGTTTTTGACACCGCTCATAGGTATCTTGTCAATCAGTTACCAGCTGTAGTCCGTTTGAAGAGGTTTACTCTCCGAACACTGGAACTCAAACCATGGGTATAGTATGTTACCTGATGTCAAATTTAATTTAAACATCAAATATTTTTAATAACATTATGTACAATTTTTTGTAACACAAATTTTAAAGGGTTTTTACCCTCATATTTTGGTGGCTCAGGCATGTGAACCTTGTAAGTATAACCATTTTGCTTCTTAACCTTAGTCAAAATTTTAAACCACGTTTGTTTTAACCAAATGGTTTATACTTATTTTAGGTACTTTTTAAAACCTAATGGTGGAATTGTTATTCCGAAAACGTTTGTATTATTCAATGTTGCCCTATTAAGGGCTTTTTTTAAAATACCCACATACAAAGATATAAATTCTTTTTTGTGATACGTGGTATACAGTCAGCTACAGGAATTTTTTTCTTGTGGATTTTTTTAATATACAAAATGGATGAAGCTAATATTTTTCCGACTATTAAAAGCCTTCGAAGTGAATTGGTTCGAAAGAACATTCTCTCATGTTCAGCAGCAACGCTTTGATAATTTCTTAAAACCCATAATTTTAAGTAAAAACCTATAGACAAGAGTCAATAATCGTAAGAGTCACCAGTCATCCGTCCAATCACTTTTACAAGTGAGGTGCGTCCCTCCCAACTACTACCTTTCAAAAGCATTATGCCACCATCTCAAAAACTAACGGTCTGGGCGAGATTGCAGGTGGCGAAATGTTCCCAAACTCTTCTGTAGAGTTGGTTTTGATCATCTGGTTTCCATATTAGGATTCTGGCCTCATTAACATTTTTTCAGTTGTCGATATTCCACTGAATATGTGTTCTTGCAAATTGTAAACGACGAGCTTTATGATTTTGGAGAAGACGTGGAACTTTTTGGAGAAGAACGGCAGGGAGTCTAGTCTTTTAGTTTGCTTCGTACAAAATTTTCTGTTTTGTGGTATACTTTTAAAGTATTAGAAACTATAGATTGACTTCTCCTGAGACGTCGTGCGATATCATTTTGTGTATATTCTTCTAAAATAATATTTAGTTAAACTTAATAAATTAAACTAAAAATAACCAAATTAGTATAATTTTTCACTTACGTGAAGAAAGTTTTTACATAAAATGTACGAATGACACTAAACGCTGAATAAACGTCAAAATAAACGTCAAAATATTCTACACCAGTTGAGAATATCAGCCTACTATATAAGTAACATCAGTAATCTAAAATTATTTTGAAATGGTAGTGAATCCAAAAAAATTGAAAAATTCTAAAATATTAGATATTTCTGTCCATGAGTGTATATAAAAAAGAAATAGTCTTTCGGCAGTGTAGGTATCTTTCGGTATAAAAAAGCCTTAATATAAAATGCTTATAACAGCTTTAAAAGAATCGAAGGAAGAAATAGTAGTCTTTCAATAGACTAGGTATCTTTTAGTAGAAAAGAAATAACGCAATAAATGGTTATAACCATCGCAAAAAGAAGAAATAGTGTTTCGATAGACTAGGTATCATCTTTCGGAAGACGACTAGGTATCTTTTTACATAAAAAAATACCCGAATATATGGTTGTGATAACTGCAAAAAAAATATCCAGTAAATAAACCTTGTACAACGTAAAAAGTAAAATGTCTTTTAGCAGACTGGGTAACTATTTAGATAAAAGAAATACCTGACTGTACTATGGTTTTGATAACAGCATCATTCTCTTTTCCTGTATGATTTTTATATTTACCTTCGTTAATTATCTGGAACAGAAATTCACCAAGAGTAGTATCATATTGTTATTTTCTAAATATATACGTCCTCGGGATTTTAGAAGATCGGACATATTTAATCACTCCACCAATATTCGATAGACCTCCTATTTTATTCTAGCAAACCAGCGCTCTTGTATCACATTTATGTACATTAAACCTTCTAATGGTAACAGTTGGTTTTGCCAAAGCTACCTGTTGGAGATTTGTCTTTTTGACTTGAATTGGGGCCACCAAGGCCTCTGATGATTATAAAGGATAATTTTTCAAGTCTGTGATACGTCTTGAAATAAACATACCTCAATGATTTGTAAGGGACCTTGTGGATCGGGAAGGCTAGAATTTATTTATCCTCTCTAACCTTCTTGTCTTAAGGTCTTAATTTTGTTTCACTAGGTGTCTAATGAATTAATTATTCCAGGTAATTACTTAGTCTGTTTCTTGGGGATGGGGGCGGGACCCATTGACTACTTGAACATGTTATTGGAAACGACTACAGGTAAACGACTTTCCATAGACTCTTTTTTTTGTGGAACTGTTGAAACTGATTCTGACGTGGCTCAATTCCACCGCTAGCTTCAATTTAGATCTGAGTCGGACCTAGTCATGGAATCATGGGAGTCTGATCTAAATCATAGGAATGATGGTGTCTTTTTACTTATGTATGTTATTTGTAATGAGTTATGGTATTTTTTCGCGGTTTTTTTTACCTTCGTGTTTTACGAGTTTTGTCGCTTTAGTTTTGTGTGGGTTATCTTTAATCCACGTCCCATTAGCTACTCTTGCTTTTTTCTGATTATCCTCGACTTAGTTCTAGGCGTTTTTTAATAATTATTTTAGAGCCTGTTCCTATCGGGACAACTTAAGTTTTAATATCTGAGGCGGAGACATAGTCCGCGACTGAAGTCGACCCTCTGATTATTTCCGTTGCGTTTTTATTTATAGGCTTTCACTTATTTTTGAGCTCTATTCTATTATTTTATATCCTTGTCTATTTTGTTCTCATGAGTTGGGACAAAATATTGCCATAGCAGTATATTTATATTTCATTACCACTCACGATAATTCTATACAAATTTTAAGCTTTTTCCAGCGAATCATTTGAGTGTGGTGCAACACCAATAAGCACGTGCCTTTTTAAGGCGAGCAGTGCTATTATAAGCACTCCAACTAACTATTGCGCAAATTTCTTTTACTTACACTGTCAAATGTAAAAATGTATAATTGTTTGTATTTTACTCATGCCTATTCCCAATAATGTACGAATCTCATAATAATATGTAGAACTGCTTCAATAATATCGCGTACTGCATCAATGTTATATATATATATATATATATATATATATATATATATATATATAAGGAATATATGAAAAAGGAATAAAAATATTCCGAAAGCTCGACAAAAAGTCAAAAGAGTGTTTTTTTAACATCCCGGCCAATATTTCTGACTGCAACCCTAATAAACTGTGTTGTTTGTTTATATCGACAGTCAATAATATCCAGTATTTCTTTTATATATATATATATATATATATATATATATATATATATATATATATATATATATATATATGTATAGTTTTCCTAGATGTGTTAGTTATTAAGAAAGAAGACGGAAGCATAACACACAGTATGCCGAAAACCAACCGATACTGACAGGTACTTACACGCAGACTCACACCATCATCCTGCACAATTAAATTCGGTAATAAAAACCCTAATAACAAGATCTGAGAAACTGGCAGATAAGGAACATAAGAACGAAGAAATGCAAAAAGTCAAAACAGCTCTAAGAAAAAATGGCTTCTCCATGTATACGATTGAAAAGGCACAGAAATCCCGAAACAAAATCAAAGATCCAGAAGAAGAGGAAAAACTAGTCGGAAAAACTATCCTGCCCTATATAAAGGGTACGACAGACAAAATCAGCAGAGTGCTTCGAAAAAACAACATAGAAACTATTTTTAACACCGACAAAAAAATCGCAACCATATTACCATCGGCAAAAACAAAACTTGCATTAGAAAATCAGGTGTATATAGAATCTCGTGTGAGGACTGCGATAAATCGTACATCGAACAGACAAATCGAAGGATACAAGTTAGACGCGAAGAACATCGAAACGCCATCGAAAGAAAACAGAAAACTTCATCTCTAACACAACATGCCATCAACACAGGACACAAAATCGACTTAAATGGAACAACAATGCTAGCCAATATCGAAAATAAGGCCAAACGTGTAATCAGGGAAGCCATAGAGATCGAAAAACATACTAAACATAGTAAACTTTAGTTTTGGATATAAACTGTTAAAATTATCTAAAATTTCGTTCTTTGTATTTGTTGCGATAGCACAGATACAATCAGCGATATAGCAGTAGAAGAATAGTACATCAAAAAATCTAAATAACTCTACCATTTTCTGGTATACTACACAATTTATTTTCCACTGCTACACATATCCACAAAAAGGGGCCAAAACAGAAAACTACAAATTCGACGGTGAATTTGGATTCATACTGAGCCTACAGCCACCCAAGTAAGAATTGATCCACACCTGAGCTTACCGCGACAGAAGTAAGAATTTAGATCCATACCTGAGACTACGACGACCCAAGTAAGAATGATGAAATTCTCTTAAGAATTCGTTCACTTAACTTGAAAACAAACGCTGAACTAACAAAACACAACGAAAATTAAAACGTAAAAGATTCCATTTCTACGACGTGTAAAAATTATAAGGCGACTTCGAATAAAACATTAAAAGAGAATGCCGAGAAATTACACAACTTTAAAATAATAAACAACTCTTAAATGGTTTTTATCACTTGGCGACGCTGAAAAGAACGAAACATTATTTGGGTTTCAAATTGAACGATACGAACGAAAGATACATTAAAAGATTTTTCAAACATATATGTTAGTGTATAGTGAAATGATATCTAAAGATTTTAATTTATAGTTATTTCTTACGTGGGTGTTTTTAATTTTAGAAATAAGGTTATTGAAATCTTTAATATAATAAGGATTTTTATTTGTGATATATAATTAATGTTTTTTAAAAACTGTGATAGATTATCGAAGGGTGATTGAATGCATGAAACGATAGAACGTAGAGGTACATTCTCCTTGTGTGTTTTAGGCAAACCATAAATTTTTGGTGCAATAGCGTTGTGTAGCTTAAATGATTTTGCTGTATTGAGGTATTGCTAATTTTATATTAAATAAAATATGGTTCAAGAAACTTCATAAAGCTATATATATATATATATATATATATATATATATATATATATATATATATATATATATATATATATACACTTACTAATGTTTTACTATTCTTACAGCTTTGCAAACAACGTAGCTAATGTTTGCTGTCCGCAAGAGCCTATCATAGTCCAAGATGATTCGAATGCAGAAGTGCAACAACCCCCTCCCGATGTATCGAATCATAGAAACTTAAATTTACTACCGTCTGACTGTGGTTACATAGATACAAGCAATAAAATTAGACATGGACAAGACGCTGATTTAAATGAATTCCCTTGGATGGCTTTACTCAGTTACAGAACAAGTAAGGTGCAGTTGTTTACTATATCGATTATATATTTTTTTATAGTTCATTTTATTTTGATATTATCTCAAGTGATCAACTCTACCGAAATAATGATACTTCCTTCTGTACATGTAAAATGTTTTCTCAATTATTCCATTTTTTTTTATTTGCTACCCGAGTAGCATATATTCGTTAATTCAACCATTTTTTTTATGCCCGGGTCCTAATGGAGGTCATTGTTATACATCTCACCTAGTAAGTACTACGTGCGTCACCAATTGTATCTTATTGGACGTTGGAACAGCTCATTATCAATATCATTATCAGACAATTTTATGTCAACTGCTGGACATATGTCTTCTCTCTTTGTGTTTAGAGTGCATGGTCTTGTGCAGTATGGATCCAACTTTTCGTGATCTGCCGTAGTTCATCTTGCCACCGCATAGGTGGCCCCGCCATGTTTCGTAGGGTTTTTTAATCTTGTCACTTAGTGTTCCTTCTATCATTGAATACTCCATTTTTGTTTGTGCTATTGTTAATTTTAAGGTATTGTTGTTTTGTTACAAACAGTAGTTCTGCGCCGTAGGTCATTACTGGCACAGCTGATTTTCAGAAGATTTTCCGCTTCAGATTGTTCAGTATGTTACCATATTAAAATAAGTTTTGAAGAGCTCCAGATATTTCCCACGCAGGTGCTATTCTTTATTTCCTTGCCTTTTTGTTTAACCTTGAATATTCCAATTTTGTGTCAAGGTATATGTATTTATACACAAGTTTAGGTCTTTTAGGTCTTTCTCAACAACATGTATTTGCGAATTTTTAAATTCCTTCTGACAACAAGTTTGATAATGTGTTTTGTTTTGGAGATATTTAAATTTAAACCGATTTATCTGCAGGCTCCTTTTTAAGTCCTATCAAAGTTGTTTGTTTTTAAATTTGATTGTTGAATCTTTCTGGTATGTAGTTTTCGTTGAACTAACTAAATTTTATTTTCCTGTATTGATTGTTGAATTTTTTTGTTATTATATTTTCTCACAGTCTATTTGGGTTTTTTTATTCGAGTCTTGCCAGATTTATCTTTTTGGTTATTTTTTTTTGTGGAAGAAGCTGTTTATTTGGAATAAGTTATTCTGACAAAGAAAACCAGCTAGAGTTTCTTCGCACTGTTTACGTTAGTCTGACTGGAATTTTCCTATAAATGTTTCTTCAACACATGTTTTGCAGCTAGTGTTAACTTTAAAATGGCTACTAATCATGAAATTGTATATATGTCTCGTTTAGTGCTGTTGATATTTCATAGTAAAACTCATTAACCCACTCGTCTAAATGGGCAACTCAAGATTAAATAAGCAACTCTACTTGAAATTCCGTAGACGGATGTAATGCGATGTTATTTATTATGTAAAAAACTTTGTTCTAACTTAACTTATTCATATTATGGTGTTTTTCTAAAGCTAAAATTAAATATTTATAAAATGCTTGTGAATATTAATAAATGAAATTAGCGCGTCGAGCCTATAGGCCGATGGCTTGATTGACCATTTTTTTTTCATCGCTTCTTGTTTATTGCTTTCATCCTCCAATTTGTGACGTTAGGTCTTTTTAGATCATCTACTACATACATTTTTCACTTTGTTCTGGACAAACCTATTCTCTGTCCTAGCCATCTTATTCGTTGGGTTCTTATTACTACTAGTATGCTGGGCTCCTCATGTTAATTATTTGTCCTAATTTAAACTCTATTCTCCATTTTTCCTCCCAATATCTTTCTTAGTACTTTTAGTTCCATATGTGCACCATATCTTGTGGTTTGGTACTAGTGTTGCCCAAATGCAAGAACAAGACGAGACTTGGACAACCTTGGTCTTGGTCTTGCGCCAATATACCTGGTCTTGGTCTTGTCTTGCAAGTCTTCCAAGTCTCGCAACTACCCATTAGGCCTATTGCTATTTATTAAACGTTACTTTAGATCTTAGAACAATGGAACAGAGTAGGTAGATTTTAAGTTTAAATTATCATAGCCATATTAAAGACCAACCAAATTAATAAATGTCTGAACAACTGACACCGGGTAGGGTCTGAACCCACGATCCAAGCAATCCGTGCCTATGTTATAACTAGCTAAGCTATCTACCATGTCCCACAGGAGTCAAAATGTTTTTTAATAAACGTTTGCACGTAATAGGCTTACATGTGCTAATAATATTGTGTGATAAGTATATTTTTTCTTACCTGTTCACTTTTTCCAGCGGTTATTAAAAAGCTTGTGATATCTCCACCTAATTTTGGATTTTTAGGAAGAAATATTTGTGATTCCTTTTTGTGGAAAGATATTAAATGCTTTCTTAACCCTGAAGTGTTTCTGTTTTCCATTTTTATTTCAACCTTTTTATTTTGGCACAATTTACACAAAGACATTTGGGATGCATGAATTATTTCAAAAAGCTTATTAATTTTGCTTTTAGGTCTTTTAGATATATGACTCAAACTCTCATTATTTTGACTACAACTATTTGAATCTTTGTCACTCATGTCAAATTGTAAATGTAAACTTGTCACTCCGAGAACAAAAAGGATTCGATGAAAAACAATTATTACATTAGCCTCGAAAGAAAGCTTAATTGGGAATGAAGTTTAATTATGTCGAAAAAGTAACTACTCGTTACTTTATATTTGTTTTTATCCAATACTCTAAGTACCGAATAATATGGCGAGAATTATACAATATCATTCCTTCGTTACTTTAAATATTTCGGTATTTTTTTTACACGGTAACCGGAATTATCTGTTTTGTCTTGTTGCTTTTGAATATTAGCGCTCTTTCAGCAAATTTTGTTACCCGAATGAGCTCATCGCACACTTACCAGAAACGATGTTTAGTCTTAGGCTGATAAGATTTGTGGTATATTCCTCCTAACTAATTAAATTATAATAAGGAAAAAATTAAATAATTAAGTGGGTCTCTTTAACAGTAGGTATGCTAACCTTAGTATATTTTTGATCAGCTATTGTCACATATTTTTAAAAAGTTTCGATACGATATTACTGTTTTCGTTGCAACACAAGATTATTTTATAATTAGAGGGCGGCTATTCTCAAATCCGGACAACTAATTTAGCGTCTGGAGCGAAAAAGTTGTCTGCTGGGAGAGAATGTATGAAATATTTTATTTTTACATTGTAATTATGACCTCTGAGTACGTGTCAAATGTGTCAAGTGTTCTTTTAATGAGTACTTTGATTTGATATGTATGTTTCTGGTATTGTTCGTAATGCACATAAGTCCAGTTTTTCAAATGTGTGTTACATATTTTTTTGCATCTGATAGACTCTCTAAGCATATACCCGAACTACTGTACTTCCTAAAACGACACTCAGTCCTAAGTGCATGGTCAGTCTTGGTCTTGGTCTTGCTAAATAGCCTAAGAACAAATACAAGACTGCAAGACCAAGATCGATTTTGGGCAACACTGGTTGCCACCTCTTGATATGCATTTATGTCTTAGTAACTTATTTATTCTCTTTTGGATTTCTTTTTCTATATTTAGTTTTCGTGTTGTAATAATTGTTCCTAGATATTCAAACCTATCAACTTCCTCAAATCTATAAATGTATTATGATTTCTTTGAACTATTAAATACTTTCCTCTTATATATTCTTGGCCTGTGCCATCCATGTATTTTATTTTTATGTCATTAATATATCTATATTTTTTATGGCTTTTTCTTCTAATTCTTTAGTTATCCCTATCACTTCCTGTTTGCTTCTCGCTACTATTGCTATATCATTAGCGAATGCCAGACATTCATATTTTTATATATAATTCATTTCTATTTATATTGGCTTCTCGCAGCACGAGAAGGCTAAAGAAAACAGATAAAAGTGGGTCGAATTGCCTTACACCTGCATTTACAGTATTGTGCGAATTAATGGAATCATAGGCTGTTTTAATGAAAAAACAGTTTATTTAGTAAAAAATTATATTTTGACAAAACTATAAAGGTAAACTTACATCATTTAGTAGGAAATATGTCCCCCTTTGGCAGCAATTACTGCTTTTACCCGTTTTGGCATAGATTTTATGAGTTTCTGGCAGTTGTCAGATATCATTTTTTTTTGTTTTAGTGGTACAGTCGATTTTTCGCAGTCTAGCTTTGCAAATGGCCCATAAATTTTCAATGGGGTTGAGGTCGGGTGAATTACCGGGCCAATCTAAAACATTAATCTTCTTATTTTTGAAAAATGCCATCATTTCCTTTGATTTGTGACAGGGAGCAGAGTCCTGTTGAAGAATCGCTTCTCCTTCGGGTTGACATTTTTGGAGTTGTTTGTCCAAATACTTTTCCAACATGGATTTGTATTTTTGGCTTTTCATCATGCCTTCAATTGGCACCAAAGATCCAACCCCCATGTATGAAAAACATCCCCAAAACATTTTCTTGACTGGATGTTTTACGGTTTGATCAATATGAGATGGTGTAAGCTTTTCATTGTCAGACTTCCTGATGAATTTCGACCACTGTCCCTGAACTATAAAGTGGGTTTCATCTATAAATAGGACTTTTTTCCAGTCGCCTACAGTCCAATTAGAGAATTTTTTGGCCCACAGTAGCCTTTGTTTCTTCATTCGTTCAGTTACAAGCTATTTTTTCTGTGGACGAATTGCCCTTCTACCATTCTCCAAAAGTCTTCTACAAACAGTTGAGTCATGAATCACTATAGCTGATGCTGCTAGATCTTGTTGTAGGTCTTGGCTTGATTTTCTTGGGTCCAATTTGCTCTTCCGAAGTAAAAATATATCATCTGCTGGTGTTGTTTTTCTCTTTCTTTCACATTTTCCTAACCTTTTCACATCCACTGATCCCGTTTCTCGTTTACGCTTCAAAATTTTTCTTACTACCCCCTGACTCACTCCACACGTTCTAGCAATCTCTCTTTGTGACATACTAGTGTGTTCACTCAACGTGACAATCTTTTCACGCTTCCTAAGCGTAATATCCATGTTGGAATAAAACCAAA